TAGTTGCATTTCCACTCGTGTTCTATCCACCAATTTTCGTTTCAATCGGACAACTCCTTCTTGGTGCGTCGATTTTTTTGTTATACTGCGTATATTAACAGTTTTTAACTAATTCAGTGTGCTTAAGTGCATGAAAGTGTCATGTTTGGTATTTACTTATTTTTATGCCCACGCAGACAATAACAATGCCAAGCAATCCATCAAATTTTTAGGTACAGTCGGTTGGACTGGTTTAAATTAAGAATTGGGCTGACTGACATTGCCAAAAACACTAATCCAATTATTATCACCAGTGAGGATGAACTTGACCAATTCATAGAACAAAGCAATACTGATATACAAACAGTCTGCAGTGATAGCAAAAGGAAACATAAATCGAGAGCAGGTGTGAAGAACTTTTGGTGGACTACACTGCTTATTATCATGAGGAAAAAAGTAAGGGCAGTAAGAAGACGCTGTCAAAGTGCGCAGGAAGAGGAAAATTAGAAACCACTATAGGATCAAATATAAACAAACATCTGCAACATAGAAACGACTAATCGGAATTGAAAAGAAAAAGGCTATCAAAAATTGCATAATAAAACTCACAGATAATTTTACATTCAGCAAACCATACAAAATTGCCAGAAATATAGATGCTAGAAAGACACCAGGTGTTTTTACTAAGCTGCAAAACGGTGTTGTCTCGACAAACTATAAGGAATCGATAACAAATATATTAAGTTATCATTTTCCATTCACATCTATTCAAGATATGGAAGTAATACAGAAACACAGCACTACCAGAGAATTCACAGGGGCCGAGATAGAGAGTTTCATCAAGACACAGAAGAGAGGGAAAGCCTCAGGATGTGATGGAATACCAGCGGAGGTCATCCACGACTTATTCTATGCTAAATAAATGCTTAACCTTAGGCCATTTCTCAACATCATGGAAGAAAGCTGAGATCTGCCTCATACAAAAGAAAAATAGAGATCCGGCCCATCCCCCTTACCACCGATCTATATCATTACCACCGATCTGGGGCAAAATTCTGTATAAACTGATCACGCAAAGACTAGTATTTTATTTGGAAAACAACAAACTACTGGACAATCAATAATACGGATTTAGAAAGGGACGAGGAACAGAAGATGCACTGAAAGAAGTGGTCAGTCGTATCAACATAGCTAACCTTGAGGGTAAACATATGGTGGGGTTGCCCATGGACATTAAGAACGTTTTCAATAACGCAAATTGGTATATACTCAAAACTGAACTCAATAAACTTGACCTGGGTTACCAGATCCTAAAACCATTTTTTTGGCTTTTTAAACAAACGTTTTAGCATCTTTAACTTTAATGATACTGTTTTTAATATGCCGACAAATGTGGGGGAGCCGCAGGGCTCCTCACTGAGTCTAATACTTTGGCTAGTTTTAATCAACACTATCTTTAGCATTTCTATTGAACCGCATTTTAAACTGCTGGCATTCGCTGATGATGTCCTTCTTCTTATGAAAGACTCAATACTATACAAAATCGACAAACTAGGCACCGAGGCGGTCGAATTATTGATGACATGGGCCGAAAGTCACAACTTAGAATTCGAACCTGAGAAAACAAAAACAATTACTTTTCCGAAAAACAAAAAAATTAATTAAATCCCGTATCAAAATGCGTAACACTACAAGAGCTTACATGAAGAACGAGCACAATTTGAAATACTTAGGCATAACCCTAGACCCCAGGGTGAGCTGAATCCCACACCTTGAAGACATTAAGCAGAAAGTAAATATAATGTACCATAAACTTAGTGATAACTCAAGAGTAACATGGTGCCTAAAACTAACAATATTGAAAACAATCTACTTACAGGCAGTGGAGAAAATTATAATGTATGGCTCGGTATTCTGGTATAAACCAAAAGTTAAAATAAATAATCATCTACCATCCATACAACGACTATGCTTGATAAATATCACAAAAAGCACAGAGTCACTGCAAATTCACGCCGGCACCTTACCGATATATATAAAGATAAGCGAGGATAACTTTGTAAGGACACTTAAATGGCCTAATAGTAACAGTACCACCCTGGATTCAGACTTTGATAGCCCAGCCGTAAAATTGTACGAATACAATACCATACACCAATCCAGTTGAATTTAGGGCAATCGAATGGGGATTCATCCTACCAACGGGTCTGGGTTATGAAATATACACCGATGGCAGTACGAGAGAAATACTCGATAATAACACGGGTGACAAATTAAAAAGGGGTGTGGATATGTCGTGAAATTAAATGGTTCGACTGCCTATAAAAATTGTATTAGACTAAACAACGAGGCAAGGATCTACCCGGCCGAGCTGCAGGCCATTAAACTAACCATCAATTGGCTAAATGAAAACAACATCCATTCGGCAACAATTTACACAGATTTTCGCTCCCCGATGAACTCACTCGAAAACCCCGTGGGCACAAGTAAACAAGTTGAAGAAATCAAACATAATATAGGTAAAGGACATATGTTAAATTGGATTAGGGCACACACGGAGAATGAGGGCAATGAGGCAGATAATTTTGCTAAAATGGGCAAGGAGTTCGATCAGGTGGATATAAACTGCCAATTCATGAAACAAATCCAAACCTCTGGGGGCACTGGATTGGAGAACGATCGTTCTCTGATTCAGGTCAAAATTACGATCTGTGGATGAATGTATGAATGGGTCCGCCTTATAAACATGCGTGACGTATGGTGTGGCGAAGTCGAATTCTTGGCCATAGATTGCGCCACTGAAAAACAAGAATCGCACACTCTGCCTTAAATTTGCTCGGTTTCACCAAGCAGGCTTGCCCGTGTGGCAAGTGGCATTATAGCCAACCAACCAACCATAAACTGCCTCATCACTAGAGCCCAATTAATAAAATTTCTCAGAGACGTCAGCAATGAACTTTGGCAACAGAGGTGGGGTAGGTCGAATAATGGTTGACATACTTACAGCCTTTTCCCACAAGTAAGTACTCATAGAATTAGTAGTGACTTCTATCTCAATCAGTTTTACAAAGGCCACGGAGTGTTTGGTGTACATCAAGCTACACTATTTAAAAGGACATCACGCTACAAATACTGCGGCAAATGCCAAACCATCAAACATTTCAGGGCTCGAAAAAACTCAGAAATTTTACCCGTCCCCGAGGACGGCTTATCCAACAATGTACCCGTCCTCCTCTGAAACTAACCCGTAGTTTCTAAATAAATAAAAATATAATTTTCTCTTATTTATTACAAACATTTATGTAAATTGCACAATGAATTATTAGTTACTAGGATAACAAATACTAGGATTACATTATACAGTAATAAAAGAAATACTAGGTTACTAATAGTAACCTAGCATTTCTTTTATGAAATAATTTATATCATTTATGAAATAATTAAAACGACAAAGATCAAGTTATCTGGAATGTCAATTTATCCGAGGGTACTGCGCTTTTTGAATTAATCAAATATGACGTTTGTCAGTTCCACAATCAAGCCAATGATATACAGAGGTTTCTGCACAAAAATGAGAAAGGGGTTTTCCTTTTAGGTAGATGTTCATAATTGCGTTTAGCGCTTCTTGTTTAAGACCTGTCCAAATGCGCATGCACAGATNTTCTAAGAAACCAGGCCTTGAGCTAACAAACCAGTATTTTGTTGGCGTCAGCGGGACGTTGACGTCACGCCGACGCCCAGATAAGGCGCTTGTCCTAAGAAACCAGACCTTTACTTTCAGTAACCTAGTATTTCTTTTATATTCAGTAACCTAGTATTTCTTTTATGAAATAATTAAAGCGACAAATGTCAAGTTATCTGGAATGTCAATTTATCCGAGGGTACTGCGCTTTTTGAATTAATCAAATATGACGTTTGTCAGTTCCACAATCAAGCCAATGATATACAGAGGTTTTTGCACAAAAATGTGAAAGGGGTTTTCTTTTTAGGTAGATGTTCATAATTGCATTTAACGCTTCTTGTTTAAGACCTGTCCAAATGCACATGCGCAGATCAACTTTTCTTTTGTTTACCGATTACGTGAGCATGCGCATTTGGTCTGAAGAAGGAATTAACGGGATTTCTATATTAGAGGGTTATTTTAGAAGTGACGTGCTTGACTCTTGTTAGATAACAAAAATTGAAAATGTATCACGAACATTAACGGGAAAATGGCCGTCCGCGCGGACGTCAGATTCGAGAAATTTGTTGTCCGCGGGGAATTTTTGACCGCCGAGGACGAGCGGACGTGCGGTTTTTCGAGCCCTGAAACATTTACTAACGGAATTCAATAAACTTACAACACTTCGAGGCATCGCTTTTAAAAACCAGGGAGACATGAGGTCGTAGTGCAGAACAGGGAGACAAAAACAAACCATAAGAAATATCATTAAATACTGTGTCGAAGACATAATGTCCCCAAACGACGCCATGGACCCCTTGTTTAAAATCCCATAAGTATTTTAAGTTATCAGATCTAATATTGGATCTACAACTCCTTGTTGCTTAGACTATTCTATTATTAAATTTCAAATTTGCAATTAGCTTTAAGGACTTTGATTTTACTGATTTTAAATACCTATACTCTGGTTCAGATTCCTATTTTTACCCTTTTTAATGATTTTGGGCACTGATGCTCTTATTTTTGGTGCTTTTTTACATTTATTGGATCCTGAATTGCCCTGCATATTTTGATTTTAATTGTTGATTTATATACCTATTTTTAAATTTGATTACTTTCCAGACTAATTTTATTGTATTCTGGTTATCTCAATTATACATTTTCTAATTATTTTCCGTCATCTTCAAAGAGTTCTTCTTTTCATGCTTTTGGACTTCAGCTGTCCTTATTGTAACGATATCATATGTACTCTAACGTCATTGTTATTTTTTTTGTAACTGCATTAATTGTATTTTATTGTAATTGTCAAATTGTATTGCATTACATTGTAGTAGTCAAGCGCCCGTAGTACAACAATTAAATACGAAAAATATTAAGAGTGAATATTGCAGTACATTCATATACAACTGAGAAGAGGAGGAGAGGCAAAAAGGGAGGATCAAGACATAAAACCGGTCTTCTCCCCAAATAGCTTATTCGAGTGTTGAGATCGCGAATAGTGGTTTATTCAAGTCTGAATGAGTCCTGTCAAAAAATGACCAATGATTTCAAAATTAATAAACTGAGAAACGGAAACAGATAGATATGTAAGATTTGCTTTTTTCGCATCTTAATGTAAGTTTATATTTTCACCAAAACTTAAAATTAGTTACACAATTTGAAGAGGGGTGGCACTACTCTCTGAAAAACAATAGTTGTAAAAAGAACCATCATTTGTAGCGACTACGTGGATTGGTCAAAGTGCAGACTAATTAGGAATCCGTACAAATATTTTAGTTGGAATAGTTTGCAGTATAGCAAAATGCATTCTTTTAGTTTTCACCCAGTCAGCAGTTCAGGTAGATTTTTAAGCGAATGTAATTAAACTTGTGCAATTTTTTTTGTATTTCAAAATGATATGCTATGAAAAAATTTGACAAAAACACTTGCCTTTAGGAGTTGTGGTTCCAATTACCCCATTCGTCGTCTTTTTGTGATCTGGAAAAATAATTTTTTTGTTTTACGAACGAGGTACAAAGAGGACTCTGATGCAAATCTAGACAAAGAATAATGATAATAATAATAATAAAAATGAGACAAGAAATATTTTCTTTTATTAAAGTACATTTTGCAAAATTTGTGTAAACATAGATGAGAGATCACAAATAAATATTTAAGCAAGAAGAAAACACGAACTCTTTCAAAATTCGTTGAAACACGGCAGGATTAAAAACATCAAATCCAGTTGGCTATAGGAAGCTTGAAATTTTTATTGATATAATTGTCTGAGCTGATGACGAGATTATATATATATATATAAGTGAGGGAATGACGCTGAAGTGAGGGAATGATTCAAGATGAGNTTATATATATATATTATATATATTATTTTCACTCTATTTACGTATTTAATTAATTTATAGTTATGCTTGTAAGACGCGTTTCTGCAAAACTAAGTAACTTAAAAAAAAACGGTAATTGAAATAAAGAGAAAAAAACTAAGCTATGTACCAAAATTCAAAATTAATGGATAAACGATACTTATCCATTCAAGGGAACCACACCTTAATTCTACATCATTTTTCGGACACATGGAACAGCACATTATTTTTCTATACTATTCCGTATTCTTGTAATTTTGAATCTAATCCAGAAGACAAGGGAACTGAGGGATCAAGTATTTGTGGCGGGCTAGACTTTGCGGAAGACATATTTGATGGTTCTGCCATCTCCCCGAAAGAAAGAAATGCCGTAGAAAATAGCTTGCCTGAGGAAAAATTTTACTATTATGAGTTGACTTCAAGCAACAGCATTATGAAAAATGATTCTATATATAGTTAGTTTTTATTTTAAAGTGGTAAACTTCTGAAAAATAAAAAAGCGTGTTTTTTTTAAAAAAAATCTGATAACGTGAAACCGTCTGAAAGCAGAACAAATAATAATAAACTAAAAAACAAAGAATTATTTAGTTTTGTTTATTATGTCAGTATATGGTCTTTAGTCTGGTGCATGATTTAGTAATGTTTTTTTAGCACTGATTCATTAATGGTTTGCTTGCCTCCCCCAATAAGAAAAATGGGTTTTCAGCAAGTATATTCTATAAAATGGGAAATAAGAATTTTATTAGTGCAGTGGAAAAATATATATTGAATATGATAATAACTCACCACTTCCGTCATCACATACGGCAATATCGAATGGAAGACATACTTTTCTGTACCTATCAAAACGTTTCCTTCTTTGACAGGGTTTCCACATGGAATTCCAATCTCTACACTCGAAGTATGCTGAGCAATCTTCAATATCGGCGAACCTACCGTGTAACGATGGACATTTAAAGTTCTTCTGTTTATCCATGCCTCGGTCTCTGTTCCAATCCCAATCTCTGGTCCATTCTATAATATCTAAAGCATGCAAAAATGGAAAAAAATATGTAATATAAATGTGTTTGGATATGGGGTAATTCCCCACAAGAGCATGAATAAATGGGCTTACGTGAATAATTTCTTCAATAAAAATATGGTAAAAGTCTTACGAAATGCTTTTATTGGCAATGGTTAATTAACTGTAATTTTCATCCCCTACCCTAATCCCCATGTAAGATAATCATTTTAGTCACCTCCACAATTACCTTCTTTCTTTTCCTACACAAAATTTTCTATAAAATAAAATTGCCTTGTGAATACTAAACAGTTATAATCTTTATTTAGAAATATTAGTTTACCCATAATTTCCTGGTCCGAAAACTCCCTGGACTGGAATTATTCTAACTGGAAGCTGAAGGACTCTTTACCGCGTAGTGCAGCTGAAGTCGTTTGGCTCCACTCCTCTGTAAATACTCCCCACCCCCAGAACCTCAGTGATACATTTGTATCTTTGCTTTTTGAACGTTTTTCAACAATCCGCTCTGGGAAAGGGGTTATTCTGGCTTAAATTCTGTATCAGGGTTAAAATCGTTGTTGCCTGGGTAAAGCTGTACAAGCGAAACTATTCCGTATCTTGGTTAGAAAACAATAAAATTCTGTACCAGCAAAAAGAATCCATATCTTGGTCAAAAAATTCTGTAAACTGGTTATGCTGTAAGCAGGACAATTCTAGACAAGCAAAACAATTCCGTATCTTGAATAGAAAATTCTGAAAATGAGGTAATTCTGTTCAAATAAAGAAAGATTCATCATTTAACAATGTTTTTTAGATTAATAACTGTTTGCATACAGAAAGAAATAAGTCAAATATTTTTTAAATTTGATTTTTTATTAAAATTATGTGCTATTGAACATTTCATTAGACTTCATATTAAACTAGGAGGCTCCTCCCCCTGCTCGCTAACGCTCGCCAACCCCCGAGAATTGCTACGCAATCCTATGTGGTTCACCCTGTGAACCATGGCTCGCTGCGCTCGCTCGCCAATGATCACAATGTTCAAACACAAAGACATAGTATATTATCATCAAAGACATAGTATTTTATCATCAAAGACATAGTATTGTACGTAGAAGAATTCTATCAATGTTCTTATTGGCTTTTAAAAAAGTATATTAGCTATTTAGATTGTACATGGGGAAAAAATCAAAACATTAGCTAAATGAGAAACATATTAGCAAAATAAATTATCAAATATTGCAGTTACTCACCTAAATTCAACTAAATGTATAATAAATTAGTTAATACTAGAAATTCTGAAAGTTTTAGAAAAAAATTTTATTGTTCAAAAATATAAACTTTAAAGCCTAACTTTTCCTTGTGAGATAATAACCCTCAAAAAGTGTTTCATTTTAAAGAACACAAAAATTTGTTTTATCGCCAAATGAAATATTTTTTGGTGATCAGCATTATTGAAATCAATTTCTATATTAATTAACATTTGTGATAAAGTACATATAATTTTAGAACAAAATAAGGATGTTTTACATACAATAAATTAAAATGCATGGCTGTTAGCATTACCCGAGAAATACCACGTGAAAGTCGCCATGCGGCATTTCGAATCGGGGAGCTTTGATTTTGGCAGTTCGGCCTTGCCTACTGCCAATAGAAGTTTCAATTAAATTTTTTCCAAAAAACATTTTTTTCTGCAAAGCTCTAAGAAATTAACACTAAGCATTTAGAATTTCTTTAAAAACACAATTATAGATTTGGCATCTTGGAGCAATTA